GGGCACGGATCCAGTAAACATGTGGTTGCATTCAGCCTCCCCAAGATCCTGTCCACGTCCTCAGGAGCCACAGAGTCAAACTCCTCCCATACAACAGTCTCAAGACCTGCTCCCGTATCCTCCCCCGGGGCCACCCAGTCAGAGTCCAGGCCTTCTCGGATCCGAGCGACTTTGTCATACAGATATTGCGCAAAGTCCTTGGCCCTCCCCTCCAGGGGATCCCCCCCCTCCCTCAATTGAAGGAGAGAGCGGGTCACCCTGAAGAGGGAGGCTGGGCGGTTATCTGATGACGCAATGAGGGTGGAATAGTAATTAGACCTTGCCACCCTCATCGCCACAAGGTAGGATCTAATATGAACCCTTACCTGTGCTCGGTCGGATTCGGTTCGGCTAGCCCTCCAACTGCTCTCTAGGCGTCTTTTCCGGCGTTTCATTTCTCTCAGCTCCTCCGTAAACCAAGGAGCCAGTTGAGATCTACGCCGGGTCAGAGGCCGCAAAGGCACGACTCGGTCTAGTGCCGCGGCAGCGGCTGCTTCCCAAGCCGCCGCCTGATTTTCCGCCGAGTCGTGAACTAGATCCTCTGGATATGGCCCAAGCTCCGTCAGGAACCTCTCAGGGTCCATCAGGCGCCTGGGACGGAACCATCTGCGCGGTTCCGTCTCCCTGCGGCGGGGGGGAGCGGTCCGGAAGTCCATCTTCAGGAGTAGATGAAGTTGAAGTCCATCCATCTTAAAAAGTTGTCAAGATTGAGAGACGCTGCTTTTATGGACACAAGTAGAATCCATTTGATCACACAGTCATAACCAGTGACCTATTTCAATTTAGCCAGGTTATCACATTCCAGAATCTTTCACACTTGTGAAATCCCTTCATAACTGACATGCAAGCCTGTGAGAGTTTGGGGGTAAAGCAAGCGGTAAGTCAGCTGACAGATTATTTTATAGTTGATAACTCAGCTCAGGTGGAGGGAGATTTAATCTAAAGCATTTTAGAGATTCCACATTAGTGACCTTAATAAATGAGGCTGGGGATGTCCTATGGCACTTTCCAAGATTCCATATTTATCCGAGACCCCATTCAAAATTCCTTGCCGATATCTGTAGTTCTTGCTTCCTCAGTTTTGCCATCTCTGTGGGGCTTGGTAACACAAGTGGTCCTCGACTTACAACTATTCATTTAATGACCATTCAAAGTGACAATGGCACTGAAAAAAGTGTGTTACAATTGTTTTTCATACTTATGACCATTGCAGCATCCTCATGGTCACGTAATCAAAATTTGGATGCTTCGCAACTGGCTCAAAGTTATGACGGTTGCAGTGTCCCGGGTCATGTGATCACCTTTTGCAACCTTCTGACAAGCAGAGTCAATGGGGAAGTCAGATTCACTTAACAACCATGATATCAATTTAACAATTGCAGTGATTCATTTAACAACTGTGGCAAGAAACTGGGGCGAAACTCACTTAACAACTGTCTTGCTTAGCAACAGAAATTTTGGGCTCAATTGTGGTCATAAGTCGAGGACTATCTGTACCCAAGCCTTGGGTCTATAAGAAAGCTAGTTTTTGTGGGCGATGGAAAGAACCCTCTTTTGAACAGATTTGCTTATAAACACGCCTTCAAATTTGCTTCAGGAACTGAAAATGGCATGAAATAAGAATGGTGGGTAAGACAATGAGTGGACCCTTGCATTGAGATGTTGGGCAGCCATTTTCTCCCCTCCTGGCTACCATCTCAATGCAGCTCCTGAGAGGAAAGGTGGATTCAAATGAGATGTAGTGGACTGGCACAAAGTCGGAAATGCTCAGGACTGGCTCATGACAGAGGAGATGTTAGTTCCAGATAAAGAAAGTGAAAAGACAGAGTACAAAAAAATACCTCAATGTCCATGGAGGTTTTTGTCTCAGGATGAAGGACGGGTCGCAGATTCCTGTCAGAGACAACTGGTTGTTCCTGAACTGAGAGCTTTGTCTGCAGCACAACTGGAGAGAAGGAGTCATCCAGGCAGACCTGGGCCCAATTAAAAAAGAGATTCTGGAGATCAGACATTTCCACCCAGATCAGTGCATTTCTCCATTCAGTGTTATAATAATTCTTACACCTACACTCCTCACTGTAGGAGTTCCAAAGGCATCCATTCTCCATTTTGTCACCAAACCATTTGAAGCAACCTACCTTGACTTCTAATCACTTTGAAATGCTGAAAACATGCACAGAACACCACAAACAAATTCATGCTCTCTCCAGATAATCAGTTAAAAAGTGCCAAGAAATCTCATTTAATCACGTGATTATCTGATCCCAAGTGACTTCAGTCCCAGAGCAACAAAATCTCCTTCATTTCCATTAGATCCAAAATGGAAATCAAATTAGACCCCAAATGGAAATCAAATACATTTCTAGCATTCTCTACTTACCTACAGGTTTAGTACGTGATATATTCATTTCTGTGAAAACATCTGAGTTCTTGCTAGGAGGGAGAGTTTCCTGGCTGTAACACTACAATTCCTCTACTTATATAATGCTTTATAGTGCTTTACAGCCCTCTCTAAGTGGTTTACAGAGTCAGCATATTGCCCCCAACCATCTGGGTCACTTTACTGACCTCAGAAGGATGGAAGGCTGAGTCAACCTTGAGCCACTGAGAATCGAACTGCTGGCATTCGGCAGAATTAGCCTGCAATATGGCATTCTAACCACTGCACCACCACGGTTCTTTCACCTATGAAGGTGAAAGGATTGCATACTTAGCATTTCTGCAACCATGATCTCCTACTCTCTGCAGTGGCCAGAGTAGAGAAAGAACATACAGATGGTCCTTGATTTATGCCCGGTCATGGACCTCCCCAGGGCTACCTACAACTCAGATTCAAAGTTCTTACAGTCAGCCCTTCCCATAGTCATGTGATTACATTTTCAGTACTCAGCAACTGGCTCACATTTATGTCCACTTGCAGTGTCCAGCAGTACATAACCGCATTTCACTACAATTTTTACCGGCAATCGGTGTTTACTTCTGATTTCTGGCAAAAAAACCCGCCCATTGCGTAGAATGAATTTGCTTATCAATGGCTGTAACAAAGGTCATAAAATTGATGCAGTCACATGTGACTGGATTAATGACTGGCACAACTTAGGATCATAATTCCGGGCTCAATGACCGTCGTAAATCAAGGACTAGCTGTATAGTCTTTGTAATGCCAGCACAAGGCACCCTGACAGGATGTTAAAATTTGGAGAAATGAGGGAAGAGTAATAATAACCTTGAGTCCAAAAGCAAGGCAGTAGGCAGACAATTTTGTCACTGGGAAAATGGACAATCCATAAGGTCTGAAGCAGCTCACAGGTACAAGTTTTTCTTTAAGTTCCAATAAGCTGGTATAAAGCCAGAAATGAATGGGCTTCACTCCTCAAAACAGCTGATTTGATATGATGAGACAGGCCTCTGAATCAATGCAAATGTAATTACAGGCTTCCTCAACCAGGGGCTGAAGCAATTTGCATAATATCAAAGAGGGAAGAGGAACTATACTGTCTAAAAGGGAAGAAAGACTATAAAATTGTAGTTATCCACTGAAAAGAAGGTCAGAAGTTGTTATACTTCTTAACTGCAGTGTTTTTTCTTTCTTTTTTTCCCATTTCCTGCACTTCTTTCTCTCCTTTTTTTCTTGTAATTTGTCTTTTACTTTATGAGAAATTCTTATTTTTTTTTTAAAAAAGGAAAGATTAACAGTATCTATTAATTATTAACAGTGGGGGGAGGGAATGAGGACTAATATCACAGGTTCTGTGATTTGTCCAAAGAAGCCAGAAGAAACTTAAGATTGGTGAAATGTAATTTGTGATATCTTGTTGCTGCCTTCTTAATGGACCCACCTACAGTTCTTAGAATTCCCTTCTGGGCACTTTGGATAAGGACATAATTGTGCCCTTAACCAGTGGAACAGCTTGCCGTCAGAAGTTGTGGGTGCTTCATCACTGGAGGTTTTTAAGAAGAGACTGGACAGTCACTTGTCTGAAATGGTACAGGGCAGTGATGGCAAACCTTTTAGAGACTGAGTGCCCAAACTGAAACCCAAAACCCACTTATCTATCACAAAGTGCCAACATGGCAATTTAACCTGAATACTGAGGTTTTAGTTTAGAAAAAAACAACAACTCATACATTAACATCCTTTGTCTTAAAAGAAAAAGACAATAACAAAGCTTTCAATGATAAAAACAACTTTTCATTGAAAGGTAAAAGTTTGCATTTGGCATGCTTTTGAACAATTAATATGATTTTTGCTGTTGTATGCATGCTGATAATTTGTCTAACCTTGGCTCATACTTTGTAAGTTTGAGAGCAACACATTTCTCAAGCCCCTTCCTAGCCAAAAGAAGCCTCCGGAGTGAGCATGCTCTCTCTGAGTCTGGAGGCTTATTTTCACAGGATTGCTCTTAAGAAGAGCGAGGTGTGCTCGCTCCAGAGGCTTGTTTTGGTTAGGAAGGGGCTTGGAAAATGGCTTTTTCCTGTGAAAACTTAGCCAAAGTGCGAGGTGCACGTGCCCACAGAGAGGGCTCTGAGTTCCCCCTCTGGCATGCGTGCCATAGGTTCACCACCACTGGTATAGGGTCTCCTGCTTGAGTAGGGGGTTGGACTAGAAGACCTCAAGGGTCACTTCCAGCTCTATTCTGATTGATTGATTGTGCCTACCTGAGCCCACAGAGTCTTGTTGATGCAGATGGGCATAATTCCAATTTGGAGAGAATCTGAAAAACTGGGTGTCTCGTTCTCTAGCATCAGGCGTGGCAAGGTCTGTTTAACATCAACGTGGAGGCTGAAGTCAATTCTGGCTTTCAAAGAACCTTGTTTAAAAAAAAGCGAAGGGGCAGACAGAAGAAAAAACCCTCAACCAAATGATCATTGAGTAAGAGAACTTGATAAACAAGTTAATGAATGAGTTAGCATTCAGATAAACATTTCAAAAAACATGGGAATATATTGCTATTTGTAATTGTCGTAGAGCAGTGTTTTTCAAATTTGGCACCTTCAACTCCCAAAATTCCCCAGCCAGTAACAACTCCCAAAATTTCCCAGCCACTATGTCCACACATCTTAAAGTTGACAAATTTGAAAAACACTGCCGTTGGTACTCAACTGGTTTGAAACTCATCAAATTTGGTATTCAATGCGTTTTGATGTGAAAATTTTGTCCTGATACTCATTGTTTGTTTGATATTCAACGCACAAGCTAGAACTTGCTGGTGTCAGCTGCCTTGTGACTTACTACATTATGGGAAAAATTTGATATTCATCGTTTTTTGTACTCATCATACCTCTCGGAACCAATTAACGATAAGTACCAAGGTACCGCTATATAGTCTGGCAAGCCATCAAGGAAGCTTATAATTTAAAAACTCCAAAAAGTTAAAATTTCAGGTTTGAGTTAACAATAAAATAATATTGAAATCATATCTTTACAGATTTTCTAGAACTCAACTGAATAAGGATTAAACACAGTTCTTGTGGAAGGATATTTCATAGCTAGGACAGCTATGAAACACAACACAGGACTTGACCTGCTCCCACATATACAATGCCTTGGTAAGGCCACCCTTGGAATACTGCATCCAGTTTTGGTCACCACGATGTAAAAAAGATGTTGAGACTCTAGAAAGAGTGCAGAGAAGAGCAACAAAGATGATCAGGGGACTGGAGGCCAAAGCATATAAGGAATGGTTGCTGGAATTTGGGTATGTCTAGTTTAATGAAGAGAAGGACAAGGGGGGACATGATAGCAGTGTTCCAATATCTCAGGAGCTGCTACAAAGAAGAGGGAGTCAAGCTATTCTCCAAAGCACCTGAGGGCAGGACAAGAAGCAATGCATGGAAACTAACCAAAGAGAGAAGCAACCTAGAACTAAAGAGAAATTTCCTGACAGTTAACCAGTGGAACAACCTGCCTTCAGAAGCTGTGAATGCGCCAACACTGGAAGTTTTTAAGAAGAGACTGGACAGCCATTTGTCTGAAATGGTATAGGTTTTCCTGCCTGAGCAGGGGGCTGGACTAGAAGACCTCCAAGATCCTTTCCAACTTTTATTATTATTATTATTATTATTATTATTATTATTATTATTATTATTATTATTATTAGTAGTAGTAGTAGTAGTAGTAGTAGTAGTAGTAGTAGTAGTAGTAGTAGTAGTAGTAGTGTATCAGGAAGATGGGCTTCGGACCAGGGAGGAATTGCCAAATAAGCCTCTCCCGTTAATCTTAACGGCCAGATGAGTACAAAATAAGACAGACAGTCCCTTAAATAGCCAGGCCCTAACCATGAAGAATTTTAAATATTAATGCCAATATATTATATTGTATTATGGAAACCCTGAGTTCTAGTCCCACTTCAGACACAAAGCCAGCTAAGAGGCCTTGGGCCAATCACTCTCTCTCAGTCCAACCACCTCACAGGGTTGCTGTGGGGAACTTAGTAGTAGGAAATGATGGCTACGGCTCACAGAAGGAGTATTAAATATATGAGTTATATATACAAATAATAAAGGTGGAATACAAATAAACAAGTTAATTGATGAGAAACAGAAGTTGACAGATAAAAAGAGTGGTTGCAAAGCAAACTATCAACACCTTAGATGTGAAGGAAAGACGAGAGTTCCAAAACCTAAACATTAAGATTATTAAGCCAAAGAACAGTCACACTGAGATATTACCAGAGCTCCATTTCATGCTGAGTAGAGTTAAGGTGAAGCAAAGACTGACTTGCCCACGAGAATCAATTCTTGAAATCTTCCTGCTTCCACAGTCTGGATCATCCAGAGGGATCGAATCACGGGAGAATCTCAGTGAAGTGAGGACAGTGAAAACAGGCCGGGATCTGGAAAGAATAAAAAAGGTATTATGATTTTCATAACCAATTGTCTTCTAAAATACAGAAATCTCTAGTAAGGCCTAGTCTGGGCATGGGAGAAGAGCCATTTCACAATACCCATGTATTTCTATGCAATATGCATCACAATTCCTCTTTTACCATTAACAAGGGTGAAGTCTCTTTTGAGTCAAGTTTAGCTTCTGGCGATTTTGTGGACTCATTCATGTAGTTTTCTTGGCAGCAAGAAGTGATCTGCCATTGCCTCTTCCCACGTTGTCTACTCTGTACCCTTGGTCTCTATCCTGGTGGTTTCCCATACAATTAATAACCAGCTCTGCTTAGCTTCCGAAACCAGACAAGATTGGCTAGAAGCTGTCAGCTGCTATGATTCTACAACTAACAATTGCAGATAACAACCATCTCAGCTCACACATGTTCCAAGTCAATATGAAACTACCACTGTGACATAGGCCAAGCCATGCCCCAAAGCAGTGGTGGGATTCAAATATGTGAACAACCGGTTCTTTGTGTGGATGCCGCTTCCAGAAGTCAACTTTGGGCTTGGGCAACAAAAAATTAGCTACTGGTTCTGCCGAAGTGGTGCGAACTGGCTGAATCCCACCACTGCCCCAAAGGTATTTTTTCAATTACTTTTATTGATTTTATCCCAGATCATTTACACACACACAAGCACAAAAACAGATAGGTAGATAGATAGATAGATAGATAGATAGATAGATAGATAGATAGATAGATAGATAGATAGATAGATAGATAGATAGATAGATAGATAGATAGATAGATAGATAGATAGATAGATAGATACCGTATTTTCCGGCATATAAGACGACTGGGCGTATAAGATGACCCCCGACCTTTCCAGTTAAAATATAAAGTTTGAGCGCGAGGGGGGGGGGAGAGAAAACTTGATGAGTAATATGCCAAACCACATGTGTAAAGGAATAAAATAGAATACCCGTATTTTCCAGCGTATAAGACGACCCCCGACTTTCGATACGATTGGGCGTATAAGACGACCCCCGACTTTCGAGAAGATTTTCAGAATTTAGAAAGTCATCTTATACGCCGGAAAATACAGTAGATAGATAGATAGATAGATAGATAGATAGATAGATAGATAGATAGATAGATAGATAGATAGATAGATAGATAGATAGATAGATAGATAGATAGATAGATAGATGGATGGATGGATGGATGGATGGATGGATGGATGGATGGATGGATGGATGGATGGATGGATGGATGGATGGATGGATGGATGGATGGATCTAGTCCAACCCCCTGCTCAGGCAGGAAACCCTAGATATGAGAGAGGGAGAGGGAGAGGGAGAGGGAGAGAGAGACAGAGACAGAGAGAGAGAGAGAGAGAGAGAGAGAGAGAGAGAGAGAGAGAGAGAGAGAGAGAGAGAGAGAGAAGCTCTCCTAAGCTGATGGATATTTTATTAATTTCTTGTGTGTCCAATCACACTTGGCCAATGAAGTATATTCTATTCTTGCCAACCATCCCACTGCATTAGACAGCAAAAGAAGCTCCTCGTATATTTTTTTTCTCCAAGAGTATAACTTTACTGAAAAGCCATATGGCAACAGAAGTGGAAAAGGCAGTTCTGATGTTTTCGCGTGCAAACAGTATAGGAAACCTTTTCCTTTTCCCCTCCTGGACCTCCGATGTCCCATTGTCCACCAATCCGTTGTACTTGCTTTATTTTGGAAACAGCCTGTGTGCCTTGGACATTCCCAGTCAATGACCTTGGGGCCTGGGTCTGTCTCAGGCTTCCAGGCAGCACACTTGCATTCCGGAGTTCCCTCCCAAATCTCCCTTACATTCCAATGCTTTCCTTCCCCCCTCCCATTACTGTTGTCTGGTTGGGAGCAGAGCTACATAGCGAGTCAACCATGACTATTCTATTCTATTCTATTCTATTCTATTCTATTCTATTCTATTCTATTCTATTCTATTCTATTCTATTCTATTCTATTCTATTCTATTCTATTCTGTTCTGTTCTGTTCTGTTCTGTTCTATCCTATCCTATCCTATCCAATTCTATTCTATTCTATTCTATTCTATTCTATTCTATTCTATTCTATTCCTATATTATCAGTGCACTTTGCACATACACCCTATACCATGAGGGTTAATGCATTTATACATTTTCACAAGAGGCCACATGAGAAACTGGGACTGTTGGGGGGGGGGGGCTGAACCAATAGAGCTGTGAAGGTGCTCAGGCATGCACATGCTCACATATGTAAATTGGAAAAAAAATAGCAGTCGCCTTCAAAATAAAACCAATCTTCACAGTTAGGGCAGGGACAGCCAAAGGGACAGATGTGGCCTGGAGGCCATAAAATGCCCAGGTTTGGTCCATGCCCATTTCTACCCCACTAATCCCTACCGAAGCACCACTGCACTTCCAAGCGCTCCAATGGCTAAGTCGGTCAGCTCATCCCTGCTCAGATCCAACCTTCCTTGGATGGATTGTCCAAAAAACTGGAGCACGGGAGAAACAGAGGTGGCAGAAATCCGCTGCAGGGAAGAAGGAAGTAAAAAAGAGATCAAGACTGGGGCACATCAATACACGTAGAGAAACTTCAGACTGCTATTCTCACCTTTCTTATTTTAAACATTTGGACTTACCTGGCTGTGCACTTCCTTCAGTCGGTCTGCTTCACCCAGGAAGATATAGATGGCCCCCCGATTTTCATTCTCCATCGGGGCTCCTACGGCCACGTCCGTAAGGCCATCGCCACTGATATCCCCTAATGCGGCTAGAGCTGCCCCAAAAAGGCCAAGTCCATTATCCGGGACTCCATGCAACGTTTGAAGGTGAACAAGATTACCCTGGAATGAAGCATGTGAGTTACATTGGTTAGTGTACTTTTACTTTGCTGCTTATTAACCACTTTCCAGGGATCTCATCCAGTTGAGCTAACCAAAGTGAAAAACAACGTACATTTCTATATTTAAGCACTCATATAAAAAAACGCACTCATTAAAAGCATGTGGCCAGATGAACTAATATAATACGACAAAGAAGTAGCTGGATTAAAGTGACATACCATATTTTCCGATGTATAAGACAACTTTCTAAACCCTGAAAATCTTCTCAAAAGTCGGGGGTCGTCTTATACGCCCAGTCGTCTTATACGCCGGAAAATACGGGTATTCTATTTTATTCCTTTACACATGTGGTTTGGCATATTACTCATCAAGTTTTCTCTCCCCCCCCCTCTCTCGCTCTAACTCTATATTTTAACTGGAAAAGTCGGGGGTCGTCTTATACGCCCAGTCATCTTATATGCCGGAAAATACGGTACAATAAATTCTTATTATCTGCAATAGTTATGTTCCAAAAAATGCTGCGACTGTTGTATTAGCCAGAACCAAACTGTTGTTCCTGGGGAAAGGCAGGATTAAGTTCCTACCAGCCTCTGTTCACATATTTGTCAACTAATTCATACCTAACTTTGTTTTATGTGTGTTTTTGTTTAAAGACACTTTAATATGCGTGTATGTGTGTATTACAAATAAAGTTCTGAAAAAGAAGCATTCAAAGGTTTTATCAAAAAGTCTTATTTTGATAGCCATTTCAACCAGCAAATCACTGAGAGTAGCCAGATGTGTGCAGAGTACCAACTCAAAATTTTCACTGCCCTGGGCATGTCTATGAATACAGCTAGTCCTCAATTTACAACGGTTCGTTTAAAGACGATTCAAAGTTACGATGGCATTAAAAAAAGTGACATGACTCATTCTCGAAGTTACAACCGTCACACTATCTCCACCATCACTTGATCAGAATTTGGGCACTTGTCAACCAGTTTGCATTTACAACGGTTGTGGCGTTTTTTTGGGGGGGGGTCATGATATTGCAATGTGATTGCAAGCAAAATCAACTGGGGAAGTTGGATTTGCTTATCTACTGTGTGATTCACTTAATAACCAGGACAAAAGAAGTCATAGAATCTTGTCCAGTAAACATGATGTCTTGTTTAACAACTGCATCCCTTAGGGACCAAAATTCATAACACAAGGACTATCTGTAAATTGCAACAATGTCAGGAAGATTGAGTTTGGAGCTACAAGTTAATTTTAGCGAGTAGGCAAATTTGCACTAGTGGAACCCATAAAGGGATTGCTTGTGTATAATTTTGATTTTAAAAAAAAGACTTTAGCATTTGAAGCTAAAAAATGAAAGCTGTGAAAGAGAAGCCTTGAAGATTTCATTATAATCTGCCTCCTTTGGTAGAAATACCTAGAGAAGAAAAGCCAACACAGTGCTAGGCTGCATTAACAGAGGGATAGAATCAAGATCACATGAAGTGTTAATACCACTTTACAATGCCTTGGTAAGGCCACACTTGGAATACTGCATCCAGTTTTGGTCACCGCGAGGTAAAAAAGATGTTGAGACTCTAGAAAGAGTACAGAGAAGAGCAACAAAGATGATCAGGGGACTGGAGGCTATAAAGCATATAAGGAACGGTTGCTGGAATTGGATATGTCTAGTCTAGTTTAATGAAGAGAAGGACGAGGGGGGACATGATAGCAGTGTTCCAATATCTCAGGGGCTGCCACAAAGAAGAGGGAGTCAAGCTATTCCCCAAAGCACCCGAAGGCAGGACAAGAAGCAACGGATGGAAACTAACCCTAGAGAGAAGCAACCTAGAACTAAGGAGAAACTTCCTGACTGTTAGAACAATTAACCAATGGAACAACCTGCCTCCAGAAGCTGTGAATGCTCCAACACTGGAAGTTTTTAAGAAGAGACTGGACAGCCATTTGTCTGAAATGGTATAGGGTTTACTGCCTGAGCAGGAGGCTGGACTAGATGACCTCCAAGGTCCCTTCCAACTTTATTATTATTATTATTATGGATCATCGCACAGTCAGCCAGATGTTCAGACTGGATTTGGCATTTTGTCTACCTATCGAGTCCTTACCCAGGACCTGGGATAGGCAGATGTGGGTGTTTGATGGTATTACAGATATTGTCGCAGGATGGAAGCAGTTCCTAGTAAGGCCGCCTTTTGCAATTGACTAATAGCGAATTTGTCAATGCCAATGGTGTTCAAGTGGTGCTCCAGTTGTTTTGGGATTGCATCCAAGGCGCCTATTACTATTGGTACTACCCTTGCTTGCTTTTGCCACAGTCTTTCTATTTCTATTTGTAGGTCTCTGTATTTTGTTATCTTCTCCAGTTCTTTCTCGTCTATTCTGCTGTCTCCAGGCACTGCCACGTCCACTATCCAGACTTTTTTGTCTTTCTTATCGACAATTGTTAAGTCTGGGATGTTATGTTGCAGGTGCTTGTCTGTTTGAATTCTGAAGTCCCAGAGCAGTTTAATTTTATCATTTTCTATGACTTTCTCTATTTTATGATCCCACCAGTTTTTGCTTACAGGCAAATGATATTTCTATTATTATTATTAAGAGCCTGCTGAGATTACCAAGCATTTCCTCCCAAAAAATGAACAGATGGAGTGAAAGACAATTCACTAAATGTGAGAAAGCTTCTTCCCAATCCTAGACTTTTCTTCCTGCCTCCAATGGTTTCACTTACCGTGCTGTTGATGGAGGAGACATGGACATTCCCACCTTGGCTTCCATTGTAGTAATGAGGAGCCCCAATTAGAAGGAGGTCCGTATTTCCATCCTCATTTAAGTCCACGGAGGCAAGTTCAGCACCAAAGTAAGAGCCCACCTGAAAAGAAGAAAACACGTTCTGTGGGATCACACAACACACAGTCTGTAGGCCCAGCATTTTGTGCATATCCAGCCATTTTAACATGACAATCCTATTGAGACATATAATTTATTTGTTTATCATATGATCTACTTGTAACCCTTATGACTTATGGCTTTGACAATCAGACGAAATAGATAATGGGGGGAAAATGAGCTTTCCTTTTTGCAACATAAAAAGGTAATTCTGTAATTGTACTTATGGTATATTCGCTGCAAAGAAAATAGAAAGCTATTTCTTTCTATGTCTTTTCTTTCTTTCTTTATTTTTTATTTATTTCTCTCTTTCTTTCTTTCTTTCTTTCTTTCCTTTCTTTCTTTCTTTCTTTCTTTTTTCTGCTTTTCGCCTCCCCCTCCTCTTTTTTTCCTTTCCTTTCTTTGCTCTCTATTAATTCATGTTAGTTTTTAATCTCCTTTTCAAAAGTCTTAATAAAAAAAGTATGCAAGAAAAGGGTCACAGAGCTGAACTGGCTAGTTTGCGGTTAGCCGTTTTTAAGGAAGTGCTGTGCCGCAAAGAAAAGCGGCCCAGCAATCGATAGCTTGTTTAGGCAGTCTCTCCACTCTGGTGTGTATGTGTGTGGGTAAAGAGATTAGACACAGGACAACATAGTCCTGCACTAACACCAATTTAGCTTTGACTGTTAATTGACTAGATTCTTGTGTATCATCACGATCATCACAATTGACACTTGGGCTTGGCTAGTCTAAAGAAAAGAAGAAATAGGGGAGACATGATAGCAGTATTCCAGTATTTGAGGGGCTGCCACAAAGAAGAGGGGGTCACGTTATTCACCAAAGCACCAGAGGACAGGACGAGAAACAATGGTTGGAAACTGATCAAAGAGAGGAGCAACCTGGAATTAAGGAGTAATTTCTTAACAGTGAGGACAATTAACCAGTGGAACAGTTTGCCTCCAGAAATCGTGGGTGCTCCATCACCGGAGACTTTTAAGAAGAGGCTAGACAGTCACTTGTCTGAGATGGTATAGGACGGTTCTCCTGCTTAAGTGTGGGGGGGTGCTGGAATATTCATGAGCAGGAAGAGTCATGTGGTAACTCAGTCAGCCAATGTGAAGAAAGTGCTACTGAGTCTGTGCAAAAAGTATTGAGTTAGGAGCTGGATTTTCCAGTCTCGGGTCTGTCTCTGTATCTCTCTGTAAGGAGTATTCATTGTGCTATGCTGCTGTAAAGAAGAATGTATGGTATTGTAAATATTTTGATATGAATATAAAGAAGTTATTTGAATCAGCTAAAATGCAGACAACTGTGAGAGCTTCTGATTTATTTTTTCACCAATAGAGAAATTAAAATTCTCGTAACAGGGGGGCTGGACTAGAAGACCTCCAAGGTCCCTTCCAGCTCTATTCTATTGTAAGCCACGAGTGGCACAAAGAGCCATGGAAAGATACAGGCTCGGCATTACAAGACAAGACAGAAAGAACCGCACACGGATTAGAGAACAAACGAAAGTATACAATATCGCCAAGAGAGTAAAAGAATGGAAATGGAAATGGGATGGTCACATAGCAAGAAGAACCGATAGCAAGTGGCCCAAGCCAGCCACAGAATAAACCCCACTTAGCAAAAAGTGCCCACAAAAGAGACCTAAAACAAGATTCTTGTGCATAGGTAGCAATAATAAACTCCTCTATAATTTGAACTCAGGAATGGCTATTTGCTATTTGCGCTTGACTATCACAGAGGTTTTATTAGCTGAGGACCTGATTATCAAAGGGAGCCTAATTCTATTATTTAGCATCTACCCAGCCACAGGAATCTAGAGATATTCTTAACAGAGGCTTGGTATTCTGGCACCTGGGAAAAGGATGCTTTTTGCACGGCTGCCAAGCTGTACGTGCTGTCTTCCTTGGGAGAAGGGTTCAGTTCCCATTATTAGAGGGGCCAAATTACATTCCTTTTGCCAAACTCTTAATAGCTAATGAATGCTTGGATTGATTTTAATTTATGAATTTGTATTTTTGTACTGTCTTTTCCTGAGTCTTAGCCACCTAAAATGCTCATGGTTGAGTAGAAAAATGGGGTCTGTCAAATAAATTGCTAAATAAAACAGATGGTTGATGTTGCATTCCAACCCTCATTAGTCCCAGCAAGCAAATCCAACAGTATACAGGTAGTCCTTGACATACTATATAACTGTAACTGACCTTGAATTTTGGTTATACTGTAAGTCATGGCAGTCATCAAATGGATCACCACAGGATCCTGCCTGTTTTTATGACTTTTTTTTTTGCTGTAGTTGTTAAGCAAACGCAATGGTTATTAAATGAACCTATTTTCTTCAATGGGCAGTGTTTGCTGGAACTAGGATGTCAACAGCAGAAATTGGCAAAAAATATATATGTGAAAATTGTGATCGTGTGACCATAGGATGCTGCAAAAGGTCATAAATGTCATAAATGTGAGCCAGCTGCCAAGTGCTCAAAATGCAGAAACAGGACTGCAGTTGTGTATGTGTTGGTGCAGCCATTGGAACTTCAGAACCGGGTTGTAAGTAGCTCTGGGGAAGTCCGTTGTAACTCTGAATGGTTGTTAAATGACTGGTCATTAGGTGAGGACCACCTGTACCGAGGATTCCCCTATTCTCAGTTGTCTCTGAGAACAATTCTCTTAAATTCTAGCAGAACTGTTGCTGGATTTAGACTAGTTATGAATTTAGACCAGGGGTTTTCAAACTTGACCCCTTTATGACTTGTGGACTTGCTGGCTGGCTGAGGAATTCTGGGAGTTGAAGTCCACAAGTCATAAAAGGGCCAAGTTTGAAGACCCCTGATTTAGACTATGAAACCCTATTCTTGATGCAAAACAAAAATCCTATGAAGTTTTACAATTCCTCCACCATGACAATAGAGGCTGATCTGCATTCCATTTCCTATCCTCCCTTACCTGTTGACCCTGAATATTCCCTATTAAGCTTCCACTCTTGCTTTCAAAGACCAGGACTTGGCCAACGTGCTGGTACCGAGGAGCTCCAGTGATGTAGAAGGTCCTTTGGTGAAAGCGAGCTAAAGCCACAGAGTAACCTGTCCAGCAAAGAGAAGAAACAACCTGTGGTTCTTGGACTTGGTCAATTTAGCACTTTGGGGCAAAGGGTGGAGAATAAGACCTGCCTCCATCACTCACCTATATACGACTCATCGATGCTGACATTCAGGAATTTGATCTGAGGAGGTTCTCCAAAGGATGCTTCTTCCAAACCTCCAGTCCAGCTATAAGCACCAACAGCTCCAGTCACTGCATGCTCCTGAAGAGGAAAGCAAACAAGGAGGAGATGAAAGAGGGATAAGTCATCTAGCAATAGCAATTAGACTTATATACCGCTTCACAGTGCTTTACAGCCCTCTCTTAGCTGTTTACAGAGTCAGCATATGGCCTCCTAACAATCTGGGTCCTTATTTTACTGACCTCAGAAGGATGAAAAGCGGAGTCAACTATGAGCCAGTGAGAATAAATCCTAATCCAGTGATGGCGAACCTTTTAGAGACCGAGTGCCCCAAAACTGGCCCCGCCCCTGCCCCACCCCACTCTGCTTGCCTGCAGGGCCACTCACCGCCTCCAAGGCCCACCGCAGATTGCCCAGGCGGCCCAGCAGCGCTATGGCAGTCACGCCCTCTGCCCGCGCCCTGCAGCATCAACTATGCAAGTTGGGGCATGAGGGCAGAGTCTTGTCTACGCTGCCTGGCTGCCATGTCCTTGGCTGCGCTGCTCCGCGTGGGCCACGGTCAGGGCGACTCTCCTCCAGGGAGGCTGCTGGTGAGGAGGGGGTCACGGGTGGAGGCAAGGCTGGGGCAATGGCATGTGTGCCCACAGAGAGGGCTCCGAGTGCCGCCTCTGGCACCCGTGCCATAGGTTCGCCACCACTGTCCTAATCCATACATATAGCCGTTTCACCAAATACAGGTAGTTCTCAATTTACGACCCCAACTGAGCCCAAATTTTTGTTGCTAAGTGAGAATTTCTTAAGTGAGTTTTGCCCCATTTTACGACCTTTCTTCCCACAATTGTTAAGTGAATCACTGCAGTTGTTAAATTAGTAAAATGGTTCTTAAGTGAATCTGGCTTCCCCATTGACTTAACTTGTCAAAAGGTTGCAAAAAATGATCACAACAACCCCTGGGCACTGCAACGGTCATAAATACGAGCCAGTTGCCAAGCATCTGAATTCTGATCACGTGACCATGGGGATGTTGCTACTGTGCTAAGTGTGAAAAATGGTCCTAAATCACTTTTTTCAGTGCCCTTGTAACTTCGAACAGTCACTAAATGAACTGTTGTAAGTCAAGAACTACCGGTACCAGAAAAATTCAGGAGAAACGTGAAACAGCTGGGCAATTTTTTATTGTATGGCAGCCAGATTCCCTCTCGGAGGATAATGGGTGGTTTAAAAATGTGAAAAATAAGTAAGTAAATAAATCCTCATTCCCCCACCCACAAGGAAACTATGTGCAGGTTTTAATAACTTATTTCTTATTCTCTCCTATAGGTTCAGAGCAGCCTACCGCAGGATTCTTTTTTTAAAAAAAAGGGGATGGCTTTATTCCCTAAAATAGTGGTAAACAAATCAGGGTCTCCTGTGACTTTCAGCTATGAAAACAGTCAGTAAAATTTTCAAACTTCTCCCCCCCCCTTTTTTTTTTTTTTTTGCCCTTTGGATTTAGAGAAGCACTATAGGCCAGAATGGGTGCCTAAAACATCCACACCATGCCTTAAAACCCCAAGTCTCTGCTTTTTTAGTCTCTTTTCTTTTTAAATATGACTAAGCTTTATATTTTCACAAAGGATACAAATTACTGTTGTACATGCTATCTACTCACTGGTGTAAGAAGGGAGCTGAATCCACCTTGGGAAAATTCTTTCTCGAAAAAACTGCTAGGCAAGGCATCAGGCAATGGTTTAGAGACTCCTTTTTCAACGAAGAAAAAATAATTAGGAGCAATAATTGGCAGCATCATCAAAATACTTGAATTTATAAACCATGTGATCAATCTATGCAGTTTCCAACGCTATCAGTGGCTTCTATGAGCTTCGCTGCTACGAGGCCTGTGCGTGATGTCATGATTGTGAAATCAAATAACTCCTTCTTGAGCATGGGGATCACACTCATGACATCACGTGACGTGTCGTGACGTATTGTGACTTTTTTCCCATTCCTGGCAATGATGTGGGCACGGTTTTGGTGTGATGCATCCGGCCGGTGGGCTGGCAGACACCCCTGTTCTTGAGGATTGTAACAGTGGAGGGGCGATGAAGTTTGCTAATTATGAATATTCATGGTTTATTAATGTTGAAGGAAAAGTCTTCATCATGGTTCAGTCCAAGCTGGGAATAAACAACATGGCGACTAATTTAGAAAGAAGGTTGCAGTTTATTGAAGAGGAGAGCCGGACAGACAGATGGCTCTGGAAGAAAAGAGAGTGAGCACATGTAGGGAGTCGGTTTTTATACCCTCTGGAGCCTCTTTTTGGAGTTGTTCCTCTGGTATGAATTTTGACCTGAGTCTGAGTGTGCTTCTTTGGTATCTGTGGGTTAATCCTATTATGTCCTGTCTTAGAGTTTGGGTGGGGTATGTAGATTTTAAGGGCCTTTGTCTTCCTAAGCTTCTAGCTGGGAGCCTCCAACCTTCCTGAATGGAGTACCACATCTGTATTTCTACAGAGCTGGTTTCTGCTTGAGGGAGGGAGACTTGGGGCTATTAAGAAAACTGGGCATGCTTTTCTGCCTCTTTAAGATCCTTTGAGAAAAAATATTTTTCTGCCCTTTTAATATTTCCTTCTCTGGGGGGCTGACTTCCCACATGCATATTTATGACTGTATCATCTTCTCCTCCTTTCTTAAAATGTATAAATACGAGTGCATCCTTTTGTCTCTAGGAGTCCTGCCCATTATTTTCTTGAGGGAATTCCTCCGGTATGCATTGAATAAATAATTTTTGCGTTGAGCCTTGATTATTGGTTTTTGGGTCCTGTGTTTGTCTTTTGGACAGAGAGGACCAGTGGTTTGAAAGAGGGATCAAAGAGGCCATCTATGTCAAAACTGAACAGCCCTCTCTTAACAGAGGGGGAGGGATAGGACATCATCTATCTCCAAGCTACATCACAGTCCTTTCAGCAGTTCCAAGAAGGCTCCACAGCCATTTGCACTATTCAAGTGACCCTGAGGACACAGATAAACCTCCAGGTGGCCTCAACGACTCTCTAAAGCAGGGGTGTCAAACTGCCAGCCTACGGGCTGGATGCGTCATGGCGAAACCGCGCCCACCCAGTGGTGGGATTCAGCCGGTTCGCACCAGTTCAGTAGAACCAGTAGCTAATTTTTTGTTGCCCAGACCCAGAATGGACTTCCGGAAGTGGCATCCACACAGAGAACCGGTTGTTCACATATTTGAATCCCACCTCTCCACCCACCCCATTGCTGGCAATGGAAAAAAAGTCGCAATATGTCGTGACACCCCTGCTCTAAAGGAATGCAAGTGACCAGCTATCTGCAAGGAATATAAATCCTTCAACTTCCTTCCAGGCGGGGAAAAAAAAACCCTCCCCAAAAGTCTAAGAGAGGAGCGACGGAAACCAAACAGAGACGCGGCGCCTTTGATCATGTCACTCAGGCGAAAACTAGATGGTGCTTCTCAGAGGTAATTTCAGGAATAAACGCTTCACTTCTCTAGTTTCCTGATTGGTGCATACGGGAAAGGGGGCGAGGCCACAAGTACTACCTTTCGGTATGTCGTTTTTTTATACTTAAAACGGTCATTAGGGCAGAGAACTGGTTGTTAAATTATTTGAATCCCACCCCTGAGTTACATGATTGCTGGACACTGCAAATGGCTGTAAATGTGGCCATGTTATCCAGCATCTGAAGTCCAGTCATGAGGCCACAAAGGAGGGGGTAGTATTGGAACTTTGAATCTGAGTCATAAGTACCCATAAAATAAATGGAAATAATAGAAATAGAAATAGACTAGAACTAGAACTAGAATAGAACAGAACAGAACAGTTGGAAGGGACTTTGGAAGTCTTCTAGTAGAGATAGAGGCAGGTTGTATTTTTGAACTAAGCTACCAGTCAGAAGTCAAGGAGTTCCTATAGTGACATAATCTGTAATGAATGAAGCAAACACCCTTGTTCCCTCATCAGCATGCCATTTGCCAAATTTTAAAAGTTTCATTTATCTTTATTATCTTTTTCAGTTCTCTAGAGATGGGCTAAAGAAATGCTGCCCTGCAGAACGAAGGTGGGTTGATTCTTCATCCAACAATATTTATCTCAGCCTTGAAATAAATCATTTTTATTTACCTCAGCCTTGAAATAAATCATTTTTATTTACCTCAGCCTTGAGATAAATTGCAGAGAAGAGCAGGGAAGCTCTTACAGTTTGCCAGCAAAAGAAAATTTAAGAATTAGAAAAAAATAAACAAATCACCCTCTGAAGAGAAAGAATAATTGGAAAGGGATGGTTTCAAACCTTCAATATTAAAGATCTTATCCTCCAGCTGTTTCTGAAGCTGATCAAGTGCGTCAAAACTTTCCACGGGGAAGACATTTTCATTTGATGAAGCGATTCTGCGCAGCTCATCTTGAGCCGTCAAGAAATTCTGACCCACCTGATGGATACAAGGGGGAGGGAGGGAGAGGGATACACACACTGGATAATACAGGTAGTCCTCGATTTAGGACCACAATGGAGCCCCAAATATCTGTTACTAAGCGAGATAGTTGCCCCATTTTCTTGTCACAGTTGTTAAATCAGCGTACCTGGCTGAGGAATTCTGGGAGTTGAAGTCCACAAGTCATAAAAGGGCCACGTTTGAAGACCCCTGTGTTAAATGATTCACTACAGTTGTTAAGTTAGTGACATGGTTGTTGAATCTGGCTTCCCCATTGACTTTGCTTGTCAGAAGGTTGCAAAAGGTTCCCGGAACATGGCAAATAAATGCTAGTTGCCAAGCAATTGAAATTTTATCATATGACCAGGGAGATGCTACAACAATTATAAGTGTGATAAATGGTCGTAAGTCACTGTTGTAACTTTGAACAATCACTAAATGAATGGTTGTAAGTTGAGGACTACCTGTAAAAACAAATTTGTACTAACTTCCCAGAACTCCATATTCCCTTTGCTTTCTAGCTACCAGTTAGGCCAATTTCATCCAGGATGTTTCCCGGACTTAAAAGTGACTTCCAATGAATCTACTAATACATTGTTCCCATAATCTTCCTTGATAAGTTAGAAGGCAAGCAGAAATATTGCTTATCTTGCTTTTAGTCTTATAACTTAAAAGAAAGAGCTACTTTGCTATCCTGCCCAACAATAGGCAAACATGGGTGAGAATGGGCGGATTCCCCCTTCATACTAAACTGCGGTTTGATTTAGCCAGTTGTATATGTCTCAGTGGTTGGGTTTGCAAAACATGTTACCAGGGTTTCTCAACCTTGACCATTTTAAGACGGGTGGACTTCAACTCCCAGAATTCTACATCCAGCCATGTTGGCCGTGGAATTCTGGGAGTTGAAGTCCACCTGTCTTAAAATGGCTAAGGTTAAGAAACACTGTTTTAAGCCATAAACCAGGAGCACACCACTACCAGAGGCTTGAGGGACACACCAAGCCTCATGCAGCATATCAAGGGTCATCCTCCAAAAGTGGAGCGAGGGGACTCAGTTTGGGAGGAGATTTCAAAGCTTTTGAGGAATGAAATCTCTTCTCCACAAGCTTTCAAGAAATAAAAAATTAAAAAGAATTCTCCAACACTTGACCGTTGTTTCACAGCTACTAAACAGATGTTGGTAGACCACAAGTACCCCTGAATCACATTTTATATATATATTTCTGCCATAAACTATCATTTGTAAACATCAGAACCTGGATTCATGTCTTGCTAAACCAGGGATAGGCAACCTTGGCTCTTTTATGACTCGTGGACCTCAACTCCAAGAATTCTTGAGCCAGCCAGCATAGCTGGCTCAGAAATTCTGGGAGTTGAAGTCCACGAGCCATAAAAGAGCCAAGGTTGCCTACTCCTGTGCTAAACCAACACACAATTTGTTTGATTTCAGCTCAGCATAATCTGTGCCATTTTCTTCCCGAGAAGCCGAAATTATTTCACCTGTCCTATGTACTTTGACTTCTGAATTCTCTATTCCAGGGCTTTTCAAACTTTCACCCATTGTACCACTTTTAGGATAAGGCAATATCCGAGTACCACCAGCCACCTAGCAAAGTGTCAAAAACTTGATGACCAAAAAAAAAAAAAAAAAGGAAAAAAGTGATAAAGTACAGGTAGTCCTCGACTTACAACAGTTCGCTTAGTGACTGTTTGAAGTTACAATGGCACTGAAAAAAGTGCCCCCCAAGCCACAGCCAAGCAAGACACCTGCCCGGCCGCCCGGCAACGCTCTTCCTCCTGTCCGAGGTTTTCATTGTTGTGAGCATTTCTGTTGAGGATTGGCAGTGGGGGTGGGGTGGAGGGTGTTTGGGTTTTATTCCCCCTGTCTGCCGGGTGGTTGTAGCAGGTTTTGGTCACTTCACATGACCCTGGGACACTGTGACCATCATAAATATGAATCAGTTGCCAAGCATCTGAATGTAAATCACAAGACCCTGGAGATATTGCAGCATTCCAGCTGATCGGCACTTCTTCTGGGTTCAGCAGAAGCACCAGGATCAACGCCGAGCTCCAGCTGGAGCCTGGCACTGATCCTCATGCTTCCACTGAGCCTTGACAGCCCCGAAAAAGTGCCAATCAGCTGGAAAGCGGCACTGATCCTGGCGCTTCCACTGAGCCCTGATAGCCCTGCAGCTCCAGCCATCTCTCGCTCAGGCTTGTGCGGTGCTGCCACCCGTTCAGCTCATTCCCCTCCCCCGCTACCACTTTTCTAGGATGGTTGCGTATCACCTGCCAGGTGCCAATGTACCACAGGTGGTACCCGTACCACTGGTTGAAAAGCCCTGCTCTATTCTACTAGAGCATCTCTATTCTACTAGAGCATCTCTATTCTACTAGAGCAGGGCTTTCCAACCTTGGTAAGTTTAAGATATGTGGACTGCAACTCCCAGAATTCCCTAGCCAGTGTGTCTGGTCCTTTAAACAAGCTCTGAGGCTTCCAAAATTCTCAGGCCAACTGATGTTCTCCAGACAGACTTCAACTTCTAAAATGATTAACCAGCAGGGGTAAAATACTTAGAGATCATCAGGTTGTTTAATGTTGTCTTGAACCCTTTAAAGAAGCTCCTAACATTGGCTAGCTTTTGCCCAGTGTGACAAGAATGCTCAAAGTTTCATTTTTAAAAAAATCAGATCTTGACAAGATGGCAATGACTAGAGAACTCCTGTCTCTGTCTATAGGGTGCCACTACAAATTCCCATAAGTCCTTTGTGGTCCATCTAGAGCAGGAGTTCCAACCATGGCAACTTCCAAATGTGTGATTTCAAGTACCAGAATGTTCTTCAGTGGCCATGTTGGCTGAGGAATTTTGGGATCTGCAGTCCACAACCAGCATGGCCAGTGATGAGAATTCTGGGAGTTAAAGTCCACACACATCTGGAAATGGTCATGACTGGAAAACGTTGATCTAGAACCACTGTCTCAACCCCTTTTCCTGCATACCCCAATGGCATAGCGGATTATCCCTTTTTTATTGGCAGCTTCTGTTGCCTCTTTAAATGTGGTACTTCTGTCATTGGAGATGCCATCCGTCAGGACAATGAGCAGTTTCTTGCTGTGAGGGCGCACGCCACGATTTACTGTGAAGACTTTATCCCTGTAAATAGAACCGCAACTGAGTAGGTCTATAAGGCACGTCGTAGATTTATCCCTCCCTCCCTCCCTTCCCTGGTACTCACACCACATGGACAATAGCAGATGGAGTGTAGGTTTCTCCTCTAAAACGACCAAAGTTGTGGATAAGATCTTTAATCTTCTCTCTAGTGTTATTATAGGTCGCGAAATCAAAAACAAGCGTGAATATAGAGGAGTACTGAACCACGGCAAACTGGGGACAGAAAGAGAAAAAAGATGTTTGTGTGTGTTAGTGTATGTAATAAACACACACACATACACAAATATACATACATACAGTACATACATACATACATACACACACACACACACACACACACACACACACACACAGAGTATGTATAGGAAATCATGTAGTAGTCAAATTCTCAACCCACCATATGTGCTGGACTAATCATTTCCAGGACTCTATGCCAAGTGTAAAAAAAAAAAGATTTAAAGTCATTGCCACAGTAAGTATCAAAGTATCAAAGTTGCTCTACAGATTGCCCCTAACCACATCCTCAAAAGAGAGGGAGGAATACAGGTAGTCCTCAACTTATGACCACAATTGAACCCAAAATTTCTGTTGCTAAGTGTGATGTTTGTTAAGTGAATTTTGCCCCATTTTACGACCTTTCTTCCCACCATTGTTAAGTGAATCACTACAGTTGTTAAGTTAGTGACACAGTTGTTAAATGAATCTGGCTTCCCCATTGACTTTTCTTGTCAGAAGTTCACAAAAGGGGATCACATGATCCCCAGAATATTGCAACCATCATAAATACAAACCGGTTGCCCAGCGTCTGAATTTTGATCACCTGATCGTGGGGATGCTGCAATGGTCATAAGTGTGAAATATGGACACTTTTTTCATTGCCGATGTAACTTCAAATGGTCACTAAACAAACTGTTGTAAGTCGAGGACACCTGTATAAAAGAACACACACGCATGCATGCACACGCACACACATGGACAGGAAGAGCCATGATTGGAGATTAGACTCTGATAGCTTTGAAAACTACCCTTCAGATTTGGTCTCAAAATGTAACTAGCCAATATTGGGTTGCATAGAGCAGTGTTTCTCAACCTTGACAATTTTAAGGCATGTGGACTTCAACTCCCAGAATTCCACAGCCAGCAATGCTGGCTGTGGAATTCTGGGAGTTGAAGTCCACATGCCTTAAAATTGTCAAGGTTGAGAAACACTGGCATAGAGCATAGACTTTAAGACTTGTGGACTTCAGCTCCCAGAATTCCACAGCCAGCATAGCTGGCTGAGGAATTCTGGGAGCTGAAGTCCATAAGTCTTAAAATTGTCAAGGTTGCAGACCCCTGGCATAGAGCAGCTCTAAACCAAAAAACATGTGGCTATTCCATAAAGCGGTTGAAATTATCAGCCACACAGGCCACACACACTTCAAGTGTTGCTCTCACCTGTACATTTGCCCCAGCTACCGAGTCCATCAAGTTCAGAAAGAAGTCCTTCATGATGCGGAGGTTGTGGTCACTAATGCTCCCAGAATCATCGTATAAAATCACAGCATCCACACCAAAGACGCACTCTGGATGGACAAGAAGGAAGAAAGATTGAATAAGCCTAGCAAGTTCCTGTACGTTGGTGAGGAAATTTTTCTGGGTTTCCCATATTTGGCATAGAAATTTAACAAACAAACAAATAAATAAATATTCTTCACTCATTACAAAGAAAATTGATCTCGCTGCTTGGTAGCAGAATCTAAGGGAAATTTCGGGTATTTAACCCCTTTTTCCGTATGATCACTTCCCAAGTGGAAGCTAACATCAACGTCAGCTCAAGTTTATAACAGAATAACAGAGTTGGAAGGGACCTTGGAGGTCATCTAGTCCAGCCCCCTGCTCAGGCAGGAAACCCTATACCATTTCAGACAAGTGGCTGTCCAGTCTCTTTTTAAAAACCTCCAGCGATGAAGCACTCACAACTTATGAGAGCAAGCTGTTCCATTGGTTAACTGTTCTCACTGTGAGGAAATTTCTCCTTATTTTTATATTGGTTCTCTCCTTGATTAGTTTCCATCCATTCCTTCTTGTCCTGCTCTCAGGTGCTTTGGAGAATAGGTTGACCCCCTCTTCTTTGTGGCAGCCCCTGAGATATTGGAACTCTGCTATCGTGTCATTATGATGCTATCATTATACTGGTCAATTAAAATCAGGGATATTTTATCTTCTATCCTAACTCATAAATTACATTTCTGCAAGCCATGTCCAAGATACAGCCTGGAGGGACGTGTTACCATTCTCCCTGATTATCTGTGCATGATGGTTCCCTAAAGTTAATCAAAGGCAGCCTGACTGAAATATTATGGGAATATAAGTCCACTATACGTGGTGGGTATAGGATTGGTGAAGACTCTTTTAAGATTTACATGTCAAAGACTACTTGATACCTCCCAAAGTCATTCAAAAAAACCCAAAACCTTTGGAAGGAGATGTTTCAGTGGTGAAGAGATTCACATACAGGTAGTCCTCGACTTATAATCTTTCATTTAGTGACTGTCTGAAGTTACAGAGCTGTGGTGGCCAGTGGTTAGAATGTAGTGTTGCAAGCTAACTCACTGCTCACTCCAAGAGTTCGATTCTCACTGGCTCAAGGTTGACTCAGCCTTCCATCCTTCCGAGGTCAGTAAAACGAAGAGCCAGATTATTGGGGGCAATTTGCGGACTCTGTAAAGTGTTTAGAGAGGGCTGTAAAGCACTGTGGAGCGGTATATAAGTCTAAGTGCTATTGCTACAACAGCACTAAAAAAAATGACTTAGAACCAGTCCTCAAACTTACGACCGCCATGGTATCCCCACAGTCACGTGATCCAAATTCAGGCATTAATATGTGACAGTTCAGCATTCCAGGGTCACATGATTGCCATTTGCAACCATTTCCCAGCTGGCTTCCGATAAACAAAGTCAATGGATTTGCTTGACTGCCTGGTTCATTTAACCTCAGCAGCGATTAACTTAACAACTGAGGCAAAAAAAGGTTTGTAAAACTGTGTACAACTCCGTTAACAGCTACCTTGCCAAGCAATGGAAAATATGGTCTCAGTCACAGTTGTACTTTCAGAACTACCTGTAATGAATCTCTATCTCTGAAGTAATACTTAAATACCACTAACACCTTGCAGTAGCTCCAAGCAGCATTGTGAATGATGGGAGTTGTAGATTGTGTATATTTGAAAGGCCAAGTAGACCACTCCTAGGTAGACACCAAAGAAAAATGTGAAGTAATCTTTGCTGAAGCTGAATTGCATGCTTAATTCATCTCCTTTATTTCTTTGATTACAGCTAATCCTCGACTTACAACAGTTCATTTAGTGACCATTCATAGTTACAACAGCACTGAAAAAAGTGACTTTACGACTGTTTTTCACACGACCGTTGCAGCATCCCCATGGTCAAAATTCAGAGGCTTGGCAACTGACTCATATTTATGACGGTTGCAGTGTCAGGTGATCCCCTTTTGTGACTTTTTGACAAGCAAAGGCAATGGGGAAGCCAGATTCACTTAACAACCAAGTGTTACTAACAACTGCAGTGATTCACTTAACAACTGTGGCAAGAAAGGTCGTAAATGGGGCACTTAACAACTTTCTCGCTTGGCAACAGGAATTTTGGACTCAATTGTGGGCTTCAGGTTGAGGATTACCTGTGCATCCCAACCTGGTTTCTTATCATAGTTGGTTTGAGTAGGAACCAGAGTGAGATAGCTACTCTAGCAATAAATTGTGGGTGTCACAAGAGATCACCAATAATTATTTAATGTGCTATCATTGTCATTTTCACTGTCAAGGAGAAGAAGAATTCCTTACAGAATATTTTGCCTTGGCTAATTTGTGAAAGAGTTGGGTGCCATTTTTAAAATCTCTCAAGTAACAAAGATCTTGGCACAATCTAGCTTTCAAACCTAATGTGTAAATGTGATCTTCTCATTTGACCTTGGAAAGTTGGCTGGATCTTCTTCACATTTCCATCGAAGTCATTTAGAATATAGCAGATGCCGTTCAGATAATCGAGTTGCCCACAGCGTCGTTCCCAGGTGGGACCACAGGCCTGTGTGTAGGAAGAGTCAACACAAATAGCTCTTGTAATCTTCAGCAGAGTCAACAAGAATTCTCCATTATACCTCCAGAGCAGCTAAGCCTCTCTGAGCAATGAGCTTACAGCAGGGGTGTCAAACTGCCGGCCCGCAGGCCAAACTCGTCATCTGGAAGCCATGCCCACCCCATTGCCGGCAATGGCAAAACCAGCCCAATACGTTGTACGACGTCACATGACGTCGTGAGTTTGACATGTCTGGCTTACAGTCTCTGCAAACCAACATAGATTCTAGAATTCATACTAATATTTTTATTGTGCTTAGTTTGTCTTTTTACATTCTGCTTGACTCTTACTTACCATTATTTTGGATTCAGATGCTTCATCAGCAGCCAATGAAACACCCAAGGATATTCTAGGAATGTCTTTGGCATCTGAAAAGATAGAGCAGGGGGTTGGACTAGAAGACCTCCAAGGTCCCTTTCAACTCTGTTATTCTACTTGTCTCTATTTCACAGACTTATCACTTTCACACACACACATCTAACCAAGATGGCCTTTAAAAAAAAAAAAAGAATATCTCCTGATGGATTTTGTTGGTCTTATTTGTGGCTCAAATGCATTCTGCAACTTTGTCTGGCTAGGAGATTTTGGAAGGGATGTGCAGAGTAGAAGCGAGGACCCACACCCACATGTGCACTGCAGTGCATTAATGTCAGAAATTGCTCAAATCAAATGCTAATGCCTAAGAATGTACTTTCTAAAAATGATTTTACTATTATATTTCTAATCTGTCCAATAACTGACATTCTGCAAATTGATTGCAAAGGTAGCAAAAAATTAAAATAGAAATAATAATGTGTGGTTAATTAATAGCACAGGAAAGAATAATAAAAATCATTGTGTCCTACTTCCTGTGAGAACATCTAGTCTTTCTTATTTTTTGAAATTTATTCCCACCATAAGATTGCAATAATTCCCTGTCCTTGGAGGAGAGGAGACTGAGAAAATTAGACTTGGAGTCCTAATAGAATTATCTCATAAAATACAATCCCTAAGACTACAGTTAGACTGGATTCCTAAATTGCAATTTCTTTTTTTTCTTAATTATGGTTTGGTGACAAATCATAATTAACTGGGCTCACTGGCCTGCTAATCTATAATATACAAACTAAATTAGTTTCATGTAATATGCTAACAAAAATCAAACTATATTATGGCTTAGGGACCTATGTGAACCCAGTAACTTATGTAAAACCAGTTTAAGCTGACAATGCCAGTGTACTCTAAGAAACTCTCTTTTCTTAAGATAAAATGGGGAAAAAATCCCTATGTGGGAGAGTCAGAAATGTATTTTAGTTTGCACTTACGGTTGAGGACAATTGATTGGCATTTCTGTGTATCGTATGAGCATCGGAAAAGGGAACCTGTCCGATTGTTTGCAAAGGGAGCGCTCACTACCAACCTAAAGGGATGTGAAATAATGTTTTAGAATTAATCTTTAAATATTATTTTAGAATTAATAGTTGAGACCTGCAGATCACTTCAACAAAAACAGCGACCAATGTTCTTAAGGTAATCAGCTCCAGCCTCACCAGGAAGTGCCACCGGATCTTGTCTGGATAACACGATAGCCAAACTGGTCAGTTTTCTCCCCGAGGAAAATCACAGGAGCCTCAAAATCGAAGAGGCTGAAAGATGAAAAGCACTGAAGGCCTACAAGAGAGGAAGGCAGCAGAGAATCAATATTCCTGAACAGGGGTCTTCAAACTTGGCCTTTTTATGACTTGTGGACTTCAACTCCCAGAATTCCCCAGCCAGCGTGCCTGCATTTCGGACAAATGGCTGTCCAGACTCTTCTTAAAGACTTCCAGTGTTGGAGCATTCACCACTTCTGGAGGCAGGTTGTTCCACTGGTTAATTGTTCTAACTGTCAGGAAGTTTCTCCTTAGTTCTAGGTTGCTTCTCTCCTTGATTAGTTTCCACCCGTTGCTCCTTGTCCTGCCTTCAGGGCTTTGGAAAATAGCTTGACTCCCTCTTCTTTGTGGCAGCCCTTGAGATATTGGAACACTGCTATCATGTCCCCCCTCGTCCTTCTCTTCATTAAACTAGACCAGTGGTTCTCAACCTTTTTAATGCCGCGACCCCAATTGGTCGTAAGTCAAGGACTAAACCGGTTGTAAGTCGAGGACTAAACCGGTCATAAGTTGAGGACTACCCAACCTGTCATAAGTCGAGGACTTTCCCTGCCCGGGAGCGCCACGCATGCGTGGTTCCGCCCTCTGCGCCGGCCGAGGCGTAGCTGGCAAGCGGCAGAGACGGAGCAGGCCGACCACCAGCTGGCCCAGCCCAAGGGAGGTAAGGCACCCGCCGGAAAAGGGGGGAAAAAATGGCGGACAAAAAAAATGGCAGACAGCCTTGCTTGGCGACCCCCATGAAATGGTCGATCGACCCCAAATGGGGTCCCGACCCACAGGTTGAGAACCACTGAACTAGACATACCCAATTCCAGCAGCCGTTCCTTATATGCTTTAGTCTCCAGTCACCTAATCATCTTTATTGCTCTTCTCTGTACTCTTTCTAGAATCTCAACATCATTTTTGCATCGTAGTGACCAAAACTGGATGCAGTATTCCAAGTGTGGCCTTACCAAGGCATTGTAAAGTGGTATTAATACTTCACGAGATCTTGATTCTATCCCTCTGTTAATGCAGCCTAGCACTGTGTTGGCCTTTTTGGCAGCTGCAGCATACTGCTGGCTCATATTAAGTGATTGTCCACTAGGACTCCGAGGTCCCTCTCACAGTTACTACTATTGAGCAAGGTACCCCCTATACTATTGAGCAAATGTACCCCCTGTACCTTTGGTTTTTCTTGAAGTCCACAAGTCATAAAGTCACCTGCTCCCGAACATCTATTTTTCAAAAAGGAGCAGGAGAAGCCCGATGACCGTAATGGAGGTAGGATAGTGAATTATTCTTATATAGATAGTCCTCAGTGTACAACCACAATTGGATCGGAATGTCTGTCACAAGGCAGTCATTAAGGAAGTCATGCCTGATCTTATGACCTTTTTTGCTGCAGTCATTAAGCAAATCACTGTAGTTGTTAAGCGAATCCAGTTTCTCCCTTTGTCTTTGCTTGTACGAAGTCAGCTGGGAAGGTCGCAAATGGCGCTCATGTGGCCCAGGGGAGCTGCAAGCATCCTAAAGAGCAGGTGGTGGCGCAGTGGTTAGAATGCGATATTGCGGGCTAATTCTGCCGATTGCCAGCAGTTCGATTCTCACCGGCTCAAGGTTGACTCACCCTTCCATCCTTCTGAGGTCAGTAAAATGAGGATCCAGATTGTTGGGGGCAATATGATGACTCTGTAAACTGCTTAGAGAGGGCTGTAAAGCATTGTGAGGCAGTATATAAGTCTGTATAGCTGTTGCTATTGCTATCTACCCGATTCTGTAATAGCCTTGTTCCCTATGCCATCCGTCTGGTAATCTCACAAGATTCGTTTTTCTAGCTATGTACATGTATACATAACCCAAACTAGACTGTTGCTTCTCTGTGACATATAATATATGTGGGTATATGCATAATTCTGTATTTATTTATTTATTTATTTATGCCATATTTATGTAGTGTATATTGGAGGTGGCGACCCTTTGAGAGCTGAATGCAACAAAATTTCATTTTAATGTATGCTGTTTAGTGAACATTCAAAGTGACAATAACGTTATTATAATTATTCTATTCTATTGCTAAATATATGCCAGGAGAAATTTCCTGACAGTTAGAACAATGAATCAGTGGAACAACTTGCCTCAGGAAGTTGTGGCTGCTCCAACACTGGAGGTTTTTAAGAAAAGACTGGACTTCCACTTGTCTGAAATGGTATGGGGCCTCCTACTTAAGCAGGGGGTTGGACTAGAAGACCCCCAACATCCCTTCCAACTCTGCCAGATGCCAAGCACCCATATTTTGATTATGTGACTATGGGGATGCCTCGATAGTCCTAAGTGTGAGGATCAGTTGTTAGTCACTTTTTAAAATGCTGTTGTAACTTCAAATGGCCGCTAAACGAATGATCGTAAGTTGAGGGCTACCTGTAATGACATAGTAAAAATAGCAATGGCTGTCTGAAAGCAGAAGCACAAAAATGAACTGAGGGCACCACCAGTTGAAAAATCGGTGTGTTGCATAAACATGCCGAGAGGCATCTTTAAGATTGGACTGTCCTGAAAATGATGTTCAGCTGGTCCTCGACTTACACCAGTTCATTTAGTGACCATTCGAAGTTACAACAGAGAAAAGTGACTTATAACCATTTTTCAGACTTACAACTATTGCAGCATCCCCAGGGTCACATGATCAAAAGTCAGATGCTTCTCAACTGGTTCGTAATTATGACAGTCACAGTGTCCCAAGATCATGTGATCCCCTTTTGCAATCTTCTGACAAGCAAAGTCAATGGGGAAGCCAGATTCACTTAACAATCGTGTTACTAACTTAACAACTGCAGTGATTCATTTAACAACTATAGCGGGAAAGGTCATAAAATGGGGCAAAATTCATTTAACAAATGTCTCGGTTAGCAACATAAATTTTGGGCTCAATTGTATAAGTTGAGGACTACCTGTATATCATTGGGCGGAAACATTACCTATTTTGCTTACTCTGTATTGGTCACTGAATGCTAACCTCGCTTGCTCTACTGAACCAGCATTAGCTGCTCTTCTGATTCAATCTGTGGCCACTTCAGAGAGCTAGTCAGCCGGGTAAAACCCATAAACCAGAACAAAGAGTTGCCAAACAAATAACCTTTACTCTAGTTCCGTGAGTGTTAACATGAAAAGATAATTCACCGAGGTTGAATAATAATTATTTCCTTCCTTTGGCAACTTCCATGCAATGAGATTTTGTGGTATGTCATGGTGATGAGGTCACCAGCATTTTGAAGTGGAAGATACAGTTATCAAGGTGACTACTTGATATATAGCTACATGCGATTCGTAAAATAAATGGCAGCTAACGTATTGTGTCTGCTTGTGGACCTCCAATATGGATTTGTCCACTGTAAGAATATTCAGCTAAATAGATTTCATACTGATCAAGTGTTACTCTTGAGCAGGGAGCTGGTCCAGAAGACCTCCGAAGTCCTGAGGTAACTATTGTACACTGGTGTGTTCTGAGGCAGAGTTAGGCAATTTGATGTCCTCCAGGGTTTCTAGACCAGGGGTCCCCAACCTATGCGCTGCGGCCCACTCCTGGTTCAGCTCAAACCCAGTAAGCTGTTGGCCAGGATTTATTTATATTATTAATCCAATTTTTATTAATCCACTTGATATGGCCACATACCTATCCAAGAAACTTTTGTGGATCAGCAAAATAAAAACAAGTTTGACTTTTCATTAAATTAAAAAAAACAGATAAATCCAGATTATAAAAATCACAAAACCACTAATCATATGTATCCATATTACAGCCCCCATAATTAATTTTCTAGCTCCGGTGCCTGGGGGAATAGACAACTTTCACAACTTTATGAAAGGGCAACAGATTTGGGGCCATGCATACTTCAGGAGAGAGGCTGTTTTATGCTTTCTGAAGCCCACAGGGTGATTCTGTTTACCTAGGCCAGGGGTAGGCAACCTTGGCTCTTTTATGACTCATGGACTTCAACTCCCAGAATTCCTGAGCCAGCCATGCTGAGGGGAAAGGGAGAGGTTTCCAAGCTGAGCCATGTTGGCTCAGGAATTCTGGGAGTTGAGGTCCACGAGTCATAAAAGAACCAAGGTTGCCTAACCCTGGCCTAGGCTACCTGAAGCACTCTGAGAATACGGCTAGGAATGGCAGTCCTGCAAATGGTCCCAGGCCATGTAGGGCTTTAAAGGCAATAAGCAACATGTTGAATTGCATGCAGAAGCCTATGAGAGCCACAGCAGTTCACATAGTTATGGTGTTACATGAGCATACTGGAGTGGCCAAAACCACACATGTCCCTGATTCTTGACTAGCAAGAGGTCGTTTGTTCAATAGTAATTTTATTAAAGATTATAATTACATCAGTTAAAAACTCATACAAACTAAAAAAAAATAGAAGAATATAAAGAAAGTGTAGAAGGTGCAAAAAAAGGAAAAAAGTGGAAAAAAGAATGTAGTAAAAGAGAAGAAAATAAATATATAAAGTGATTTCCTAACTTCATCACCAGCATAAATAATTTTAGCAACATTACCTCCTCTTAAAATACAACAAACGATCTATTCTTTCCATATCCCATCTCTTATCTATACACAAATCCATAAAGCATCAATCTAGTGTCAGCAAAAGCCCATTAAAGACTACCAGAGAGAACAACGTACTTATTTTAAACTTGATCAAATAAACCAACTTTATATTCCTTCCTTTTACTACTAAAAACCTTAATCTTTAGTCCATTCAAATCATGTTGTAGAACTTGTTTTCTTTTCATTTTTTTTCTTTGTCCCTTCTCATGAGATTCTTCAAAATTTTAACAAGCCTCTTTTGTAAATCCAAGATAGGAAAATTATCCAGGTGATTCTCATGGTTAATTGTTTGTATATTTCTTTCAATTATTAAAAATCAGCTGTATTTCCAGTATAACACTTTTTCCATGTCATTCTTGTATCCTATCATTTGTAAATCCACTTTCAACTCATATAATAATAATAATAATAATAATAATAATAATAATAATAATAAT